CCCCCGCCCCCCGCCCCCAGGTCCGGCGTCCCTGGATGCTATATATTCCTAATTAAAACATGCAAGAACAAGTAGAGTTAACTAGTTAACTAATTGACATTTACTTTTAAAAGTACTTAAACATTCAATTGTCTTTACAAACAATGGCAGGTTATTCCATATGTAGTTGACAATTCTATAAGAGAATGATCTTTGTCCTGTATTGGTCTTACACAATGGACTAATATGTAATTGCTCGGAATTTCATGTTTTTCGTCCGCTTACGCTGCCCCTGGTGCTAAATTTGTTGCTTAGGTATTGTGCATAGAACCATACCCATGACCCATCTAATACAAGTTAGTTTTGACGGGTGTCCACTTCAAGCTCTTCGAAGGTGGCATTATGTGGTCATATTTTCAATTATTAGTGACAATACGGACGGCAAAAATCTGGACTCGTTGAAACTTTTTAATATTAAAATCGGTTGTGTTTGACCAAACGGAAGAACAGTAATATTATTTACTATACACTAGCCGTTAATTATCATTACTAATAATTCTTTTTTAAAAACATATTTCACCCGATTTATCTGTCCAAGTGCTGACATACATGAAGAAACGGTTTTTACTGTTTGGTCGTTGAAAGTTAAGTTTTATCAAAGGTCACTCCGAGGTCCTTCACAGTCTGTACTGGTACTAAATCGTTTCCCAATAGTGAAAGGTGAAATTCCCGTAACTTGTCCATCATCTGTCTACTTCCGTATACAATCAGTTTAGTTTTATCTGGGTTCAACAATAAACGGTTGTCAAAACACCAGTTGCGAATACCAAGAAGATCTTGGTTCATGGCAATGACAGTGTTATTACATTCATGAACACGAAATGACATGAGCAGTTTGATGTCATCGACATAACATTCGGATGAACTATTTTTAGTGACAGTTGACAAATCGTTAACGTATATCGTAAATAAGAGTGGCCCCAATATACTGCCTTGTGGGACACCGCTGACCACAGGCAATAAATTAGAGACTGCAGAATTAGTGCGGACTACTTGTTTCCTATTGGACAAATAATTTTCGAACCACTTTAAGGCGGATGTCGAAGCGCCGACATCTTGCAATTTGTCTAGAAGAATCCGCCCATGACTCAAACTGTCAAACGCCTTGCTCATATCCAAAAGCGACACAGCGGTCACTTTCTGTTTATCGATAGCAATCAAAATAACATCTGTTGTATGTATCAAAGTTGTTTCAGTGGAGTGCGATTTCCTATTGCCACTCTGCTTCACAGATATTCGATCATGTAATTCAAGATATGGAAGGAATTAATTTAATGCAGTTCGTTCACATACCTTAGATAGTATAGGTAAAAGTGACATAGGACGGTTGTGGTCGACATGTACTTACTAGCTTCGTGATCGCCTTCTTTTAAGATGGGCCTAACCTCAGCCATTTTCCAGATGGTAGGGAAAATTTCGGTCTTAAATAAACTATTTATGATGGAAGTTAAAGTAGGAAAAATTGAAGGCAGGCAGTGTTTTACTACACGTACTGTTATTTTATCATTCCCTGGAGCTTTACCTCGGTTGGCATTGAATTAATTACGTTTTCAACTTCTTCGCTTTTTACTATTCTGAACGAGAATTGATCTTCTTGTGAGTATTGCTTGGGGGCAAAGGGCTGATTGTTAACGTCACAATTACTTTGCTCAGCCAAGCGTTGTACTTGTTCAACAGTATTCTCTCCAATTGAAGCGAAGAATGTATTAAAGGGAAATGGCAATATATATTTTTATTTTCTCGTTTGAAAGAACATTTAAAACCATATATAAAAGTTTTTTACCGTTTTTTCATATCTTGCTTACTTCTACAAATATTTTAATCGAAAGAAATGAAATGTCCGCCATCTTGGATTTTTGTAGATATGGAAGTTGCGTCACAACAGGGGTCACGCAATATTTTTATCTAGACAATCACTAATCATTTTGCACTCAAAATCAGGCTCGTAGCCAGCCCCATACGAATGGGGGGTCTAAAGTGCCAAATACATAAAAGTAGTGTTCTGAAATTTTTTTCAATTTTAAGGTTAGCGAAACCGCCGAAACGCTCCCACGTGCATATTTGGCGTGGCTTTTTGGTGATCTATATGCCACAGATTTGGTATATTATATGCCATAGATGAAATATTTCCGAGATTAACAAAGCATGCGCGTAATAAACTAATAGTCATGTTCGTAATGTTGCGAAAAGTTGTTTTTTCAAGCTCCGCAATATGCGTAAGATTAGAAAATGTATTACTGAAGATGCAGCAAAAATAATGGTACACAGTATGATTACATCAAGGCTTGACTATTGTAATGCTATCCTATATGGGTTACCAAATTGTGACTTGGACAGGTTATATAGTGTGCAAAAGCTGGCTGCACGATTAATCACAGGAACAAGAAAGTACGACCATATTACACCGATATTGGAAAGACTCCACTGGTTACCAGTGAAAAAGAGAATAGAGTACAAAATTCTGTTACTTGTGTTTAAATGTCTCCAAGGAACTGCACCAGAGTACTTATCTGAACTGTTAAAAAAGCGTGAAAACAAAGGCACTAGAGCAGATGACAAAAACCTTTTGGTTATCCCTAGGTTTAAGAAGGTTACCCAAGGTGGACGATGTTTTGGAAGATCTGGCCCAACACTATGGAACAATTTACCAGACAGCTTGAGACTTGAGACGAGTTTTAGCATTTTTAAAAGACGTTTAAAAACGCACTTTTTTGAACTTTCTTATAAGTAAATTAGGTCTAGGTCACATTTTTAAACTTTTTAAACTTTTTTACTAGTAAATTAGGTTTTGTCCATATTTTTAATGTGGTATGAATGTAAAGCGCCTTAGAGAACTGTAGATTTGGCGCTATAGAAATTCTGTGTATTATTATTATTATTATTATTATTATTATTATTATTATTATTATTATAATAGTAATAATATGACACGTCAAATTAATAGAGAAAGAAAGTTTTAAGAACTTGTTACTAAGTTGAGAAATGCTTTAATGCATTTTAAAATCACTTTCTTTTTGAAACGATACACATGTTATACAACATTTACACGAACGGGAATCTAATTTGTGTTCCGTTTTCAGGAATATAACCGCTTTCATCTAACTTTTAGATATGATAGTGGAAGTTTTCTAGGCTTCAAAGCAAATGCATCGACAAAAGAATGCAACTTAATATATCTTCGGCTAGTAGACGGCTACATCTCTCTCGCTACTAACATGGTTGCCCTCGTGTAATTAATTGTTGATAATTTTTACTTTGCTCAGGCATCTTTCGCACGAAGCTATTGCAATCGGAATTATGGCTGCAATGTACAAATGATTCTGTGAAGGTTTAGATAAAGGCCAGCGTAATAACTTTCACCAAACTTCTTTAATATTAATGGAAAGTAATGGTTCTTTCACCTCTCTTTGCGTTCTTAGAAGGTAATGGTTCCTTCACCCCAGTTTGAAGTTGCACTTGTTGCGCTTGAAATGCAGCCGTTGTATCAAGATGTGAAAAATCTGTGATTTCACGTTGTAAACAGAGTAATGACTAAATTATTCATATATTGTAATTACTCAATTCTTTTCAATCATTTATTGTATTGGTAGCCGTTGCCGTCGCGTTGCCGTCCTAAATAGTAAAGTCTATATATTATTATCACTCCAACGCGCTGGATTGAATGCACATAATTGTACCAATACTGAAAATCGCCTCTTCAGCTACCTCAGCAGCAAATCAAGCAGACAATGGTAAAAATCAGTACGAAATTTACTTTCTGTTGACACTGTTGTGCTGTTTTAAGTTGAGCAGGCAACGTGGTAACTGAATGATACATAAAGCAATGTTTCATCAACGGTCCATCAGCTACTAGACGATTTGGAAGCGTTCTACGGCGTTTGTTATTGGGATCTCTAATCTTCAACGTGAAATTCGACTTCCTTGGATTCAGAAGTACGCACAAACTCGGCACATTATTCCTCATTCCGGAAGAAAAAAATCTAGCGATTAGCGAAGTTACCGCATTTACAGCGGTCACTAAATCCATTTCTTCTCTTTGAAGATATTCTGAAGCGTTGTATCAAACTAAGTTGTACATACCATACTGGATAGCCTGCGAACGCAAATACGCAATTATTTCAATTTAATGACGACAATTGATTTCTTTAAAAATATTTGCAACTCCCCCCCCGCCCCAGTTTCTTCTCCTATTTGGAAGCATTACAATATTGATCTTTACAAAAAGTGTGTGGGGGCGGGGGTGCGGACACCCCATTCCCCCTCAAAATTATACTCTATAATCTGCCCTTCGAAATACCAAGATCACTTGAAACCTTTAAAACATCTACCAATTAATATTTGGTCAGCAACGAATGCTTTTATATGGTTAATCCCTGTTGTGATGTCACCAAAACTACCGTTAATGAATCAAAAATTTATCCAAGATGGCTGACATGTCATTATTTCAAGTGAAAATATTTCAAGAACTAAGCAAGATATGCAGAATAAGTAAAATAAGTTATTAAATAGTTTCAAAAGTTCTTTTAAATGAGAAAATATAAAAATATATTGCCATTTCCCTTTAACTCATTACCTACGTATATGGTTCTAGACAAGATTTCCATTTTCACTAAAAAAACAACATTAAAACAAGGTATTTAGCGAACAGATTTTGGTAGAAGGCGATGCTTTGTTTCGCCAATATGCAAGCGAAGAAACTTGCAGAAAGGTGTCCAAAATCGCATAAAAGAAAAAATGAGTATGTACATATAATATGCATATACAGAACCATTATTAAATTTATTATCAAGACTGAAAATACCATTTCAACTTCAGCAATATTTTATATAAACATCCGTGACCTTTCGGTTTCGGACAAGTCTGTTTCGACATGCAGGTTTTGGAGATACGTATCCTCGGTTCAGTACATGCTATGTAGATGAAAATACCACCGTTCGATTCAGACCAAAAATATCTCCTAATGTTCTTCGATATAGTTTTAGTAAAATGTTAAGAGGAGATTTTTTTGTATGTTACGTAACACGCGCTCAAAACTAATGCGTATAATTATATATCACTTGAGGTTATGACTAAATTCAAAATTTTTATTTTTCGATAAGTTTCTCAATCGGCAAACAAGCTTAAAAAGTATATTTAGTGCTTTATCTGTAAAATAATGCTAAAATGAAGAGATTTTGGATGATACGCCAAAGAGAAAATGATGTCTGAAGTTCAGTAAGTTTTGCTTATATGGCTGCAAATATGCCGTCAGTTTTAAAGCATCACTGATAATTGTATTTTAATTGACAATTTTTAACTATTATTTTATGTTCCTCAACCGGCAGATGCATTTACAAAGGTAGCTAACTCTATAAACTAGAGAATAAAGCTAGAACAAAATAATTTTGAGAGGAACGCCAAAAAGGTTTTAGGTTTTGAACACTTTTCATTGCGAATACGTGACATTGAAAAACATTGCCTCTTAACATTATAGCTATATTTATGGCCAAGCCCGGCGAGAGGCAAACAGGGCCCCCGAACAAGTTGGTGAACACGTGCCCCCTGTCCCTCTTAACTCTCACGCTGATGGCCACACCAAAGTCTATATTTTAATCGCAATCAACATGGGCGTACCGGAAGGAAAAATTTAGGGGGGCGGAAAGAAATTTTTCCGACTGTTCAGGATTTTGCCCCAACAAGTACCGAAAAAATTTTTTCCGGAATTTATTTTGGCGACCTCCCCCCCCGGCGCCAAAAAAATTTCGGTCAGTGTACCATTTTAGGGGTCAAAAAAATTTTCCGGACATACCAAAATTTTTCGGAACCTAACAAAAATTTTCGAAACATCACAAAATTGACCACAAAATGTACAGAATTTGTCCCGTTTATTTTTATAATAAACCAAAATTGCCCGACTGTTCAGCGAATATTGCCCGACTGCCCAGTACGCCCAGTATTGCCCGACTGCCCAGTATATTGCCCGGTACGCCCATGGCAATCAACGATCGCGAGGGAATCGCCAGCGAATTACTTGCAAGAAATCGCCGCAGAAAGCGTGCATGCATGTTACCGTATACCAGCAAATGGACGTGATAAATTTGTTCAATACAGGTAAATACCCCCATTTCATCTCATAACTGCTCAAGACGAGATGTAAACGTTGTTTCATTTTGCAGAAAAAAACGATCGAAAAATTGTTCATTTCACACTGTTTTACGATCGACACGACGATCAGCGGATAGTGTGCAAGTAGGCGTATTTCATGAAAGACAGAAATAAAGCGTTGATAAACGATACAAACATTTTACCGAGATTACCGGGCCCCTCTGAACACTCAGGGCCCCGGGTTAGCATTGTATAATATGATTTATTATATAAAGTATAGTGCTTTATAGAGT